CATAAGCAGTGAGTACGCAATTTTACTGTTTTTTTCCTTAAGCAGTTCGCAAGTGCTTGTTTGGTTGCTTAAGCAATAAAAACAAATTTTGCATATTTTCCATGACATGACATGATAAGTGATTTATAAATATATTTGTATGCTTTAAAAATATTTTCTCTTAAATCTACGAGTTAGTAGATAAACAAAGTGTTATTCCCAGTCAAGAATGCCAGTCACTTGGGAGTGTTTGATTAAGACCTTTAAGCTTGAAATAGAAAGAAATCTTTTGACTGATCGTGGTTGTAATCAGATAAATTGGATAATAATCATACAGCCCATATTATAACGGTATTGCTGTAAACTACCAAATGGGCGATAACACTTTTAAAAATAATGCGAAGAATGTAAAAATAGGTGGCAAGATTATTGTGAAGTCGGCAAGTTTCAATTAATTTTGTATACCCTGAAGTTTTTTACGAAGTCTGTAATACCTTAAAAGAAACGTCGGTGGCCAATAAAATATATACATATATAAATGATCAGTGTGACGAGCTGAGTCGATTTAGCTATGTCCGTCTGTATGTAGCGACTCAGATTTTAAGTTATTGATCTGAAATCTTGCACATCCTTTTCTCTCCAAGAAGCAGCTCGTTTGTCGCAACCGCCGATATCTGACCACTATAGAATATAGCTGTCATAGAAACTGATAAATATAGCTGATATAACTGAGTTATAAGCTATCTTCACGAAATTTTGCAATTTATCGGGGATCAGACTGCAGCCAAACAAACTGACCTATCTAAATCAAGTTTGTATAGAAAACGTTTTACTTTATAAAGGGTTATTATAGCTTCGATGCAGCCGAAGATATGGTTTTTTTTTTTAGTTTTTATTTCACAACCAACTTCAGCACTAAATGTTATCATGATGACCTCTAAGTATATGAAGCTTGAAAGTGAGTAATCTTCGCATACTTGTCTTTACAATAGATAACTCAATCGATCTCTAAAAATATTCAAACTAAGCATTACAATAAGTTTTATCCTTGCCCGGTTTTACAAAAATCCTTTTTTATGTGAGCAAGTGGTCGTGTTCGTGTCCTCTGTGCATATCACACAAATACTAAATCTATATCGATCAAATTTGGTAGAAACTTGCTCTATTTACTATTTAAAAATTGGTGAAATCGGATAGTAACCACACTAACCCCATATAAAGGTTATGTTGAAAACTACCAAAGTATTTTGACTCTCTAAATAAAAACGTCAGTACCATTAAATTTTACAATTAGATAGTACGACAGGGCTGCATGTCACTCGGTGACAGACACTTTCACCTAAAAGCGTCTACACGACCACAATCAACAAATTTTCATTTTGGTATATAATAATGTGATTATTTGACATCTATATGTTACGGTTTGAAAATGGACGAAGTAGCACTAGAAACACAAACATATTATTATACACATTCTGAGATTAAACAACATAGATATTATTCTACATTTCTATTCAAGAAGAAGTTTGTAAATACATACATACATACATATAAACATACATATCTGATGCTGTCTAAGACATTTGCAAGAATTGCAAAAGCAAGTCTGTGATTCTAGTAGTACATCATTGGTATAAGACAGGCTGAAAAGTTTTTATTTTTTCTATGAGAAGGCGCCAATAAAATCAAATCCATACGTTTTGTAATTTGAGCTAACCTAAAATTCAAAGCACATGCTCGAAATAATTAATAAGTAATAATTTCTGATGATAATAATAAAAAATGCTGAAGCTATGTACCCAGTTTTACCAGGCTTCAGAATCAAAACTATCTCAGTTGGGGATAAACTACAGGTTGGTTGAAAAGTGAGTAGTGCTCACAAAAAAATAGCACTACTAGCTCCAATTTCCTTTTTTTCTCAAGTTGGTACATCTGCAGTGAGAACATATGCAAAGTTACAAGTCATTCTGTGAGTTAATTCTTGGCTTACAATCCATTTGAAGTTGACATGTTAGAGTATATTGTTAATATAGAAAACATTGAATATAGCACATTGATTAGATTCTTTGTTTTGAAAGGTTTAAAAGCAAAGGAAATTTATGAACAATTGTTAGAAGTGTATAAGGAGTCCTCAACTTCAAAACACACCGTTGAATTCTGGGCTGACGATCCACGCGAAGGACGACCAAAACCCGCAACGGCACCAGAAATCCTAATCTAATTCCTGCATTCCTGTCCACCTCGTCCGCTTCCCACTCCTCTCTGGCGGAAAAGGCAATGTTGTGGACCGAATTTAGCTTCAATTCCATTGGATAACGGAAATTAGTGCAAATCCAGTCTGAGAACTAACTTTGTTCCCTCTTGCTTACAGAACAGGTCTGTTGGCACTAAATGTAGAATGAGTGTACGCCTTTGGACGGATCTGCACATCGTTGATGCTCGCAGCGTGGAAATTATTATATTTACCTGCTCGTGAGCATCTGTTCAATTAATTTTCTGAGAGGTTCAGAGATGTCCAGATCCTTAAGCGTACTCAGAATGGCCCTAGGCCGGATATTATTGAAGGCTCTTTCTATATCTAAGAAGGCAATTAGAGTGTATTCTTTAACTTCCAGAGATTTTTCAATCCCCGCCACCCCGTAGCTCAGCGCTGTTTCTGTTGATTTTCCTTTAGAATACGCATGCTGCTAACCAGCCAACTTTTCTGGTTTTAGTTTGTTTCTTCTATGTAGTTCTATTAGCCTTTCTGCCGTTTTTAGAAGGAATGAGGAGAGACTAATTGGTCTGAAGTCGTTTGGTTTTGTATACGGGCTTTTGCCTGTCTTAAGTATGTATATTACCTTGACTTCCCTCCAAAGCAAAGGGAATAGACTGTCTGGTCCTGGCGACTTGAAGGGCTTGAAGCTATTTATTGCCCAGCGTATGTTGCTTTCTGACACTGTGTTTATTAAAGATTAGTCTATTTGTATGTATGGCTTTCAGAGCTACCTGGGAAGTGGGTATCCATTAGTAGTCCCAGTGACTCTTTACTGAATACCGTCTAACTGCCGTCTGGCTTCTGAAGATGATAGATACCATGCACCGATTGTGCCATTATTTTCCTAAGTCGGAACGCTTCCGCTTTGTTCCCGATATCATTACAAAAAGATTTCCAAGAATTTATTTTTGCTCTCCTAACTTACTTTTTGTATGACCTAAGGAGGTTGTAATAATAATCCCCGTCTGACTCGCCTTGGGATTGCTTAGCTAAATTGAACTGCATTCTGCATTCTTTCTGTAACTTTTTAAGTTCGGGAGACCACCAGGGGGACCTAATTCTACCCCTCTTTCGTGTTATTGGACAAGCCTCTTCTAATGCTTGCCGGCAAGATTCAGTGAATCGATCAACAAGGGTGTCGAGATCCAATGCCTCTATCGGCCCTCTCTTCTAATATACATTCACTAAATCAGTGATCCGAAAAGGAATGTTCTTTGAGGACTCTCCATTGGGTTACCCTGTCAAATAGTACTTCCGTTACAAGCGTGGTATCCAGTACTTCTTATCGGTTTCTTGTAATAAACGTTGGCGTATTTCCGTTATTACACAACAGTAGCTTAGGGCCTAGTAGGTAATTGGAGAGACACTCCCCTCTGTCGTTGACACAGATGGCACAGATGGCTGAACCAGACTGTGTGATGTGCGTTTGAGTCGCATCCAAGTATAATCATGCACTTAGATGATAGACCATCAGAGGTGGCAATACCTCTTCCGCGTATGGCATATAGCACGACACCAGCCGATAACTGCATGTGCTCGTCTCCCAGCTTACTACTGCTGTGTCGTTGTTGTACTCCTATTAGAGTTCTTATGTCATTCATTTTGAATTTTAATAGTCCACTATTTAAACTCTTTTTTTGTAAGTTTGTAATGTAAGAAAACAATTGATTTTTGAACTTTCAATACTTAATCAAAAAACTCTCAATTATTAAATTTTTTTTTTTATAATTTTCAATTTCAATCTCACCATCCCTCTTTTTCTAATTGTTAAACGTCAGACCCCCTTAACTTTGACAGTTGCTTGAGTTCAGGAGGTTTTGACGTTTAGCAATTTCGCTCTCATTTCCAGTGAGATGAGCCGGGCATCTCTTTATCTCTGACGCAAAGTCCAAACAGAATTAAAAGTGGAAAAACCTCGCAACTACGTACATGCGACTCCACGTCTTCTCCTTTCTAACGGTAAAAATTGTACCCATATATGTCAACGACAACACTGTCAAAAAGGGAACACAAACTTTTTTGTTAGCGTAGTTATATATGGATTCTTTTTATTTCTCCAATTTTTTATACCTTGGATAGGGTATATTAAGTTTGCCACGAAGTTTGTAACACCCAGAAGGAAACGTCGGAGACCTCATAAAATATATACTTGTATATGTATATAAATGATCAACATGACGAGCTGAGTCGATTTAGCCATGTCCGTCTGTCTGTATATGCGCGCATTAGTCCCTCAGTTTTTGAGATATCAATCTGAAATTTTTCACCCTTACTTTTCTTCCTAAGAAGCTGCTCATTTGTCGGAATCGCTGATTTCGGACCACCATAGCATATAGCTGCCATACATACAAACTGAACAATCCGAATCAAGTGTTTGCATGGAAAACTTTTTTATTTGAGGAGGTATCTTCACGAAATTTGACATGGGTTATTGTGTAAGGCAATAATGCAATCTCCGAAGAAATTGTTCAGATCGGATCACTATAGCATTTAGCTGCCAAACAAACTGAACGATCGGAATAAAGATCTTTTATTCTTTTGAAATTTGTATTTGTGAAGGGTAATATAGCTTCGGTGCCACCTAAGTTTACGTTTGTTCTTGTCTTTTAATTCATGTTGACATATTTTAAATAGTTTGTTTGTTATTTTTTATAGTTTTTGCTAAGTCGTTTGCTCATCAGGGGGTTAAAGTTTACAGTTAGACTGGTAGCGCGGCGGTGAAACGCAGCCAACTTCAATGCGTTGATTTCGTTTTGTTTTATTAAAAACGTCAATTGTGTATTTGACATTGTGCTTTATTGTTTTCTTCGTTATTCGGTTTGTTTTGATATTTGACGAGCAACACAAAAACAAAAGAGCAAGAGCGGAGTACGCCTACAGTGGATGATTTTTGTTTCTGAGCGCAACGAAAGCAAATAACACTATTGTTTCTAAACATTTTGAGTTTGTAGTTTGCTGAGTGACTCGTGGTGTTTTCAATAATTTTAGTATTTTTTCTAGGCACGTGTAATCATGTGTATGTAGATCCATATGTAAATAGTACTTTAACGAAAAGAGAGAATTTTCTGTCGTCTGCATTGCATGCATTTGGTTTGAGCATATGTATGATAAAAAGTACGAACAGTTGTTGTACTTTTATGGCTGTGAACAGGTCATGTTTGCACATATTCTCGTTGGGGGAAACGGCGGACTTGTAACGCAATGCAAAGCGGATGCATAGAGGTGCAAGGAAGCAAATTGAATTTTCATGGCATTAAATTGAGCTCAATGTGATGTGATATAGAAAGTGAAGTGATATATGGAAATTTCTAATGAAATATACTTGCAAAGTAATATTAAATCGTTTGTGACACCCTGAGTGTTATTAGAAGAAGCGAAACGTTATTAGTGAAGCTGCAATTAAGAGTAGTGGTGTACGTGAGTGGACCAACTTCCGTGTCAACTAGACATTTGGTTTGTTATCTCTACAAAATTATGAATTATTTGTAAATGCGTATCAAATGATTGTTGACAGAACTGAATGTAACGAAATGATGATCATGTTAATATGTATGTCATAAAAGCACTGCAATGCATTGTGACAGCTGAGACAAAAGCGTAGTTGCTTGCATAGAATATTAAAAATAAATAATTTTATTTTTATAACTGTGAAGAGTCTAGTTTTTTTTCCATGCCATGCACCGCAATCGTTTCATACGCTACAGCTCGATATACTGACTCTCAACACACAACTTTTTACGCCAAAATGAAACAATTTAAAATAAATAATAATATTCATTGAATAAAAGTGGAAATAAAATAAAAAATTTGCATAAATTTTTCTGACTCTCACAAATGTCATTTTTAAAATTCTTCATCCACCTCATGTACTGCTAAAACAAACCACTGGATAACCACACTCAGTCCGCATAAAAAAAAATAACTAAATACGAAAATAACCAAACAAAATAGAAGCATTGCGCCATAACTTAGGCACCCAGCCATCCATATGTATTGCTTACATTGCCGACGACTTGTACGCAACAAAAAAATCAAGAAATATTGCGATAACACAAAACTAGCGATAACGCAAGCAAGAAAAACAACGAGGGCAACAACAACAATAGCTCGATTTAGTGACAATCGTTGTACTTAGTTCAAAAGCAACGACAACAAAAACATTGTAAGTATTAAGCCCATAATTTGCATCAAATAATGAGTATAACATTTCACTAAGTCGCTAATGATAATAAGCGAAAACAAAAGTCTTCATTAGAAAATGCCGTTGTGTTGTCAATTCATAACACCAAGCGCTGTGTAAGCACCATTTGAAATTCACATCATACTTTAGATCACCTTAACATTTTTTGAAATGCAAATCAAGACGTTACATTTATAAATGTGCACCTGTGCATTAGGGTGATGGATTATTACCGCTTTTTAAGCTGAGCAATCGTACTGTCATTTTATTATTGGGTATAGGAAAAAGGTGCGAGAAAACAAAAACAAACGTTAACATCTTGTGCACCAAAGCTAGAATACACTTCACAAATAAAAAAGTTTCTTTACAAGAACCTGATTTTGATCGGTCAACTTGTATGACTGCTGTACGCCGTAGTACTCCGATCTGAACACTTTATTCGGCGATGTAACATTGCTATGGACAATAATTCATGCCGAATTTCGTGAAAATTTCTTATCAAATAAAAAAGTTTTCCCTACAACTTTAAATAAAAAAGTGTTCCACACAAGGATAGGACATTCTCGGTCTGTTTGTATGGTAGCTATATGTTACAGTGGTCCTATATCGGCGGTTCAGAACGGTTTGTTGGGGAGAAAAGTACGTGTGCAAAATTTCAGAGCGATATCTCAAAAACTAAGGGACTAGTTTATGTATATACAGACCGACGAGCAGATAGACAGACGGACATACCTAAATCGATTCAGCTGATCATTTAAATATATTTATATTACATAAAGTCTCCGACGTTTCCTGCTGATCCTGTATACATACATATGTATAGAAATAATTTTGTAAAATAATATCATATATTGAAATCACTTCGCAAAGTTATGATATATTATTACGGTTTTTTCGATCGACGAATTAATTTTTGAGTCTTATTCCTACCAAAAACTTTAACTAGCTGGCGCTGTTGTGTAGAGTTTAGGTTATTTTTATGGTTTTCATTAAAATAGAGTCAAGTCGTATTGGTTTTAAGGGAGGATAGTTCATTTTTGTGCCCGTTTTATTGTAAATATTATGATAGATGTTGCGTCGAATATAATATTATTAGTTTTAATAAAACAGGACACTACTTAGAAAACGAGTATTTGTTAATTAAATTAGTTTAAGGCAAAAATAATAACTTCTATGACGGAATTGGTTTTTAGTTACATGAAAAGCTTGTGAGCTTAGAAGAACAGGACTAAGAATTGATGTGCTTATGTATCAATCATGTATACATACTATATTCTTGTCATTAAATAATATGAATCTGCCTTATCTCTATCTCAAAGTATTTTTTTATATTTTTATTTTCCTTAATTTTTATTTTTTTCGCAATATATATATTTACCTTTAATGTGTGTTTATTGTCGGATATCTATTTATCCTCATCGGGATTTTTATCTTTAGCTGGATTTCCTAAATTGTTTCGTATTTATGGCAAACTCTTTTCCGTTCAATTCATTACACCCTAATGGTGTCTGCTTATTTGATCAGTTGGTGGTTTGTCTAATTAGGTTAGTTTCATGCTTGCACACCTATTTATATCTAAAAATCTGTATAAATTACATGTCATTTCGCTATTTATCGACAATTTAGTGACGTAAGATGTGTGCTCTATATAAAAATATATATAGACTAGGTACAAATTACATACATAAATACATATATGCATATACATGAACAATGACTCGCTAACACGTTAGAGTGAAATGTCACACCTCGCAAGTAATCAAGTATTTACTTAAGAAAAAGGGTAGATTAACCTTGACTGAGTTCCTTTGTTGGTGTACTTCGTACATTAATTGTTTAATTATGAGATAGGTGACAGTTGAAACGGAAGCGCTAAGAACATAACCAAAACAGGAAGAGGACTAGAAAAGCATTTATTTAATCCTGGTTTGGACCAAAGAATAATATTAGCTCTATCAAAAAATATCGATGAAGGCCACCCATTTGCGGCTAACCGGAAAGAAAAATGTCGAGATAAGCCTAAAAGTTTTAAATAATTATAAGGTTGTAATAGTCATTATATACCTTTTATGCAACTATAGTAAATTTTTTCCTAAACTATTCATAATGATTGAATTAACCGGAGGTTTGTTAACCAGACCTTATGTTTCCATTTTAAGCTAACGCTATGTTTAGTTATCATTTATGCAATAATACGTAAAGGGTCCTAAATCTTTTTGTATGTATTTGATGAATTTGTACCAGAAGATTTTAATAATAAATTATTTGATTGCCTAAGGAGTAAAACGAGAGAAATTTAAGAAATCTGTAAACACGACTTTGAATTTATTAAAAAAAAAATGTTTAGCATATGAATTAACGTATACTGCTTATTTTTGAAAAACAAATTTTTAATTGAATATTTTTTGAAATTCGATGTGAGTTTGAAAAATATATCAAATTATTTTACTCGAATTTTTTCTATGTAAGTACTATTTATCTCGACAAGAAATTAAGTGCTTTTGTTAAATTCCTCCTAAAATGCTTTCCTATTCAAAACTTAATTAATTAATAATATTATTGTTACTTAACTCTTTAGAAGCTGTTGGCTGTTGATTCATTCAACAAAACTTAAAAATAAATGAAGCAAAGTGCATTGCAATATAATTACGGTTACACAATATTTATTTAATTGTGTGATTAAACCTCAAGATTTAATGAAATATGACAATTGTTAAAAACAAACTTGTAAAACACGTAAGTGCGGGTTTTGCGGTTACAAAACGAAACCAGTTTAAGGTTTCACTTGAATTGAACTTACTTTGCATCTCTCCATAATCAAAAGCGCATTCAGTAAATTGATTTGCATAACTTTGGTTTGAAGCTTTTCAAACGTGATTGGTTTCATTCATCTTTTACACTGTATTCTTTGCATAATATCGACATTCTTGAGTGTAATGTTGTGTTAAAGAAATATTCATATCCGCAATACTCGAAAATGATTAACGAAATTTTCTCTTTGACATTGTTTTTATTCCTATCTCTAAATGCAATATAAACAGAAACCTTTATTTATGATAATCTGTCTACTTTGTTCTTAATTGAGTGACAAATTTTAAGAGTGAAGCTACTCGTACTGGTGGCTTGCTTGTTGTTAACAGTTTCGGAATGTATTAAAAATCCTGTTTATAATCCATAAATATCAAATTAGAAAGACAATAAAAAGTGTCTCGAAATTGTCGTAAAGCATACCAGAAAAAATCACGAAATAGTTATTAATTAAACATGAAAATTGCACCGAAATGAAAGATTCTAAATTTTTTTTATTCAAAATAATGCCACATGGACTCCAAAAAATCAAGAAAAAATTCCCGCTCTAAAATGTTGTTAAGTGAAAAATTAGTGTTATAGGCAAAGAACTAAGCTCTAAAACAATAATTTCGTACATCTCATCGATTTAAGGGTGACTGACATAATAAAAAAAAATGAGCAAAACTCCGCAGCTAATGGGTGCATTTGGATTACAACCACGCCTACCTCCATATAATGATAATGTTGAAAACTACTAAAAGTGCGATAATTCTCCAAAGAAATTCTGCAGAAGTTTTACAGTATAAAGGCACTGATAGCATCCATAAGGACCGGTGTAAAAATTGTGGAATGGGCTTGTCCCACTTTCAAGTCAAGTTCTAAATTTCAGGAAGTCAACGCCAAATTTCTACCAAATTTTTTGTATAACATTACCCTGACATCCTTAAGTTACAGTCTAAAAACTCCATGTGTTTCTTTAATTTGAAATTATATAAATGAAGCAATAATGAAGATATCGGTATAAAACTTTGAAAAAATAGTTCCATAAGCCATCTCATGTCTAAAAATTAAACAATAAGTCCGCAGACACCGAATATGTGGACTACACTGCCTACAGCGACTTCTTGTCGAAAGTATTAGTCAATATGCGATACAATGACATTGAGTTTTTTGACACTCAGAGAGCATCTTTTCTTGATAATAATATGTCCTTGCGCCAAACATAGATAAAAGCGGATCAATACATCCCCTAGCCTCCATATACTTAATACAATAATTTTCAAACTTGAACATGAAATAGATCCACGAATTACACTAGCTTGCTTATATGTATACCACATATCATGATTTATGTCGAACAATATGGGCATTATGTGAGTAATCTTCATAAAAGTGCGTGGAAACATGTTCTTAAACTTAAATTAGTTTAGTCCCAACATATCCGATTTAGCGGTTTCCGTTTTACCAGTTGATTTTAAACCGTTTAATTAGTTAATATGTGTGACATTTTAATAAAACTAAGTAAACATGTCTACTTAGCAAATAGAAAATTAATAAAATTGTTAAAAATAGTCGTGTTAAATTTTATTGTAACCAATGGAAATCGGATAAATTGTCACAGTTATATATTTAAGTAAATACAATTGTTTAGTGTGCGACAATTCACACCAAACTTATTTGTAACTGTAATTCTCTTAAACTCATTTTAATTGGTTGCCCATATTTTAATAAGTAATTCTCGCATTAATTAAATTAAATTGAATGTTCAAAGCAAGCAATAGTCCCCAAAATAGTTTCAATTATAAACTTTTTTCAGTTTGATACCCATAATTTAATATGAATTAATTTAATTAAATTGTTTCACGTGACGGCCTTCAAAAATAATTTCAACTATATATGTATTTAAACCGTGAACAGGTTATATTAAGTTTGCCACAAAATTTGTGACACCCAAAAAAAAACGTCGAAAACCCTATGAAATACCATATACTCATATACATTCATATAAGTATGTATAAATGATCAGCTTGGTGAGCTGACTCGATTTAGCCATGTCTTTCACTCTGACTGTATTTGCGCGAACTACTACCTCAGTATTTGATATATCGATCTGAAATATTGCACACAGCCTATTTTCTGTAAAAAGCTGCTCATTAGTATGCACCGCCGATATATTTCCATTATAACATATA